GTCGGAGGAACGATAAACGCCGTGAAAACGAGCTTCAGCTCCCTGCTCTGATAAGTTAGATTAATCGACATTTCTAGACGACGCAAAGCTTTCCCATCACTATCAAGTGTGGAGCGACTCAAAACGCGCTATTAATCACGAAAATGGAGTAGATTTCAGTAGATAAACGTTGTGTTAATTTTCGGTCCAATTTTGGACGGTTTCGCCAAACATTTCTGGTGATTTGAAGGTCATTAATACTCCTAGACACACCGAATTCTTTTGCAACTTCCTGCCTGGAAAGTTACAAAAATCGGTCGAAAAATGAGCCCAACCTGCACGACTTAGCAGATTAGCTCAGAACTTTTGTCTGATCGCTGTTTTCATTAGTGGTGAAATCTGCGTATTTAGCACTCAGTTAGCAATAGGTTAATTGAAATAATCTTGAAACAGTAGGGGCTATCGACTGCCAGAAGAAAAGTAGAAAAAAATTAAATAATATCTCTGAACCACTGAAAAGCAAGGGGGGAAATGAGGAAATACACCAAACCTGCAAATTAATTTGCTCTGTAATGGCCTGAAAAAAGGCAGCCGATGCGAGCAAAAACCAAATAAGAGCTGCCGTAACAGATTTTGAAATACGAAATCTAAACCGATGGAGTAGCGTTCGACGGAACTTAGGGAACTGGAGCATTGGTAAATGCGACTCTATGGACTAGGCTTAAGTTTTAATTCCCCAGTAAATCCAACAATTACGCACTTCTTGTTCAAGGAGAAGATATATCTAAGCCTCCCAATGCCCGAAACGTCCCTTGGTAAATGTTCAAATTTGAAAGGGGAATAACAGCAAGTTGTGAGATTAATCCTCGTTACTCCAAAAATTTGACTAGGAATACAAGCAGATACAGAACGGCGATCAAAAGCGGGAAAAAAAATGAGGAAAAAACTTGCCCAAAGAGGTCAGCTCTGGGCAGTAACTACATGGAATATTAGAAAGTTGATTCAAGTAAGCGCTAACGTCCACCAGCCACCAATTAATCTACTTGGAAGAATAAGTGTATGTTGAAGAAATATCAAAACTGTAGAAAAAAGGGAAAAACGAGATTTCATCAATATTAAATAAAGTCAATAAAGGCGACCTCTGATGCAAAATAGCTGGCTGACGGATGAACTAATGGCACCGAAATCCAAAGAAGGACAACGGAAGAGCGGGAGGATAGACCAACTAATTTGACTCTCAGTGATAAGATAGCAGAGCCACGGTCGGGAACACTATTTGAGTTGAGGCCAAAATGCAAAATAACATCAGACCAGGCGTTAATGAAAAGTCTGTAGATTAAATAGAAATTATTAAGTGCTGAGTAATGGAAGCTTACCTGATCCAGGATGACTAAATGCCATTGCACACCCTCAAACCTAGACGGTCGTAACTTCAGCGCCGCATAGCTTGTCAGACAAATGTGGACATTTCGGCGAGCAATACTCAACTTTAAACGTCGCCCAGTGCCTCCACGCGAGTGGGCCAGCACGCAGTGGACGCGGAGGCCTGGGCACACAGCAGCGAGACGGGCACGCCAGGCAGACAAGAGGACTCCCGGGCAGACAATAAGGTGGGGGCCCCAGTCACCAACACCATTACCACTGGCACCGGACACTGCTAATTGGCCGATATGAACAGCCAGACAAAGCTCTGCATCGGCTGAAGGTATGGAATAGGTAACCAGGCAAGTAGGCACTTGGTGGGAGTAGGTGACGCTTAGCCATGAGAGCCCGGAGCCTATCAGAAAAAGGTGGATTTCTGAGACTCATTACTTTCAGCACATCACTGGATGTGCAGATGTGCCATCAATACTGTTTTGGTCATTTTCCAATTTCGCTATGTTGAGAATCAAATCATAGAATCTTGGATATGGAGAGAAGAATAGATGAAAATAGTGGTCGCCTATGATGGACTTTTGTATCATCGGCCATCCTTTGAGATCCCAAACAGAACATTGGTCCACCCTCGCAAAGAAAGTACAAACTAGCCCTAGTAATGAAGATGAGAAGGCTGGTCAACGAAGTTGCCACTACCATAAAAATCAGCCCAAAATATGATCTTGACTAACATTCATCCCCCATGTCCCATGTTTACTACTTGACCAATGAGCTGCTTTTGGAGTTCATGACTAGATAAT